AAAATGTACGATTCTTGAAGAACAGCTTTTTGGCGAGAGAGATATATATCAGGTTGCATAATCTGAAAAAAAAAATCTTTTTCTTTTTATATATCTCAATTACATGAGTTATTATGGACAACCTTATCTTGGGCCCAAAAAAAAATATTTGCCATCAGAATTTTATCAAAAGGCCCACATGCTTTTTACAAGACAAATGTTTTAAAAAAATGAGCATGACAGTAATTTCTAAACTGTGTTCAGTTTTATTTTTTATTTTTTATTTTTTTATTATACTTTATTTTTAAAAAAAATTATTTAAATGGGTTATGCTTATATAATCTGTATATGCATGATGTAATTAATTGGAACAAGATATGACATTTTCAAGGCCAGAAAAAGGTGTCACATATCATTTAACTTATTTGACACTAAGCTTCCAAAACTTTATTTCTTCAATTTCTTAGGCATCATCAAAACATTATAAACCTTGAGCTCATGGGATGTCTTCAATCTCCCCCTTTTTAATGATGACAATATATACTCAAATTGAGACAATATCAAAATTCTAAAATTTCCAAGCTCCCCCTATCAATATAAACTCCCTCTAACAATGTGGGACATGCTCAATTTGTTTCTTATATTTTCTCCCCCTTTGACATTATCAAAAAAAATTAGTAGCATGAGATAACATAAAGCATATATAATATGGCACAATGAATAAAGCATGTTATAAGACATGAATGTGCATGTATCAAGAAGATGGATCATATAAGCCTAATTATATACGCAATCTTTCATAAGTATCTCTAGGTAATGGCTTTGTAAAGATATCCGCTAATTGTTTAGTTGTATCAACAAAATTAATTTCAACATCTCTTTTACTAACATGATCACGAATGAAATGATGACGAATATCAATATGTTTAGTGCGTGAATGCTGAATGGGATTCTTAGTTAGGTTAATAGCACTTGTGTTATCACATAAGATGGGAACGGTCTCAAGTTTCAAACCATAGTCTAGAAGTTGTTGCTTCATCCAAAGAACTTGGGCAACACAACTACCTGCAGCTATATACTCTGCTTCCGCAGTGGATAGAGCTACACTAGCTTGCTTCTTACTATGCCAAGAAACTAAAGCGTTTCCAAACAAATGTGTCACTCATGCTTTTCCTATCCAACTTGCATCCGGCAAAGTCGGCATCGGAATACCCAACTAAGCTTGGTGGAAATCCCTTAGGATACCACAATCTCATTTGACTAGAGCCCACTAAATAATGAAAAATTCTTTTAATTGCAGCTAAGTGGGATTCTCTAGGATTAGATTGATATCGTGCACACATGCATACAGCAAACATAATATCAGGTCTAGAGGCGGTCAAATATAAAAGTGATCCAATCATACCTCTATACCTTGTAGAATCTACCGATTTACCTTGTTCGTCTTTGTGAAGTGTACATGAGGAGCTCATGGGTGTGTCAATATGCTTTGCAGAGTCCATCCCAAATCTCTTTAGGAGGTCCTTGCAATACTTTGTTTGATGAATGTATGTGCCATCCTTTTCTTGCTTGATTTGGAGGCCAAGGAAGAATGTCAATTCTCCCATCATACTCATCTCAAACTCCCCCCGCATAATCTTAGAAAATTCTTCACATAGAGAGGCATCAGTAGAACCAAAAATAATGTCATCCACATAAGTCTCTACTAGTAGTGTGTGATCATGCTTTTTCTTTATAAAGAGTGTAGTGTCAACTTTACCACGAATAAATGCATGTTCAAGCAAAAATTTACTTAGCCTATCATACCATGCCCTAGGTACTTGTTTTAAACCATATAATGCTTTCTTTAACCTATAGACATGATCAAGCTTTTCACAATTTTCAAATCCAGGAGGTTGCTTAACATACACTTCTTCATTAATATAGCCATTAAGAAATGCACTTTTAACATCCATTTGATACAACACAAAATCATGCACACATGCATATGCAAGCAATAACCTAATAGCTTCTAGCCTAGCTACAGGTGCATATGTTTAATCATAATCAATGCCTTCTTCCTGACTATAACCCTGTGCCACTAATCTAGCTTTATTTCTAACAATAATTCCATTTTCATCCAACTTATTTCTAAACACCCATTTTGTTCCAATTACTTGTTGGTGCTTAGGTTTATGGACTAATTCCCACACACAATTTCTTTCAAATTGATTTAATTCAACATGCATAGCATTAATCTAAAATTCATCATTTAATACATCATGAATATTACTAGGTTCAATTTGAGACACAAAGGCACAACTATTACATAAATTTCTCAAAGAACGTCTAGTAGTTAGGCCTTGTCTAACATCACATAGTACTTGATCAAGCGGATGATTTAATGCTACTCTTCTACTTGGTCGTAGGGGTTATTCTTCAATTTGAGGAGCTATTGATTGTTCAGGTTGTGCTTGAGCTTCCTCTTGGTCATTTAATGAGATCTTTTCAAATTCTCCTGAAATATCATCTTCAACACTTGCCCTTCTCGGCACATTAGCAGGATCATAGTATTCATCAAATGTAACATGTACTGACTCTTCAACAGTCATGGTTCTTTTATTAAACACTCTATATGATTTACTAGATAAGGAATAACCAAGGAAAATACCCTCATCGGATTTGGAATCAAACTTACCTAGGTTGTCTTTTCCATTATTCAATACAAAACATTTACAACCAAAGGCACGAAAGTGTGAAACATTGGGTTTCCTTCCTTTATAGAGTTCATAGGGGGTTTTATTTAGAATTTTTCTAAAAAGGATACGGTTCGAAACATAACAAGCAGTGCTAACTGCATCTGCCCAAAAGTGTTTGGGAACGTTGCCATCATGGAGCATTGTCCTTGCTAGTTCCTCTAATGTCCTATTTTTCCTTTCCACAACCCCATTTTGTTGTGGGGTCCTAGGAGCAGAAAAATTATGACTTATACCATTATTTTCACAAAACTTTTCAAAATCATGATTTTCAAATTCCCCACCATGATCACTCTTAATGGAAACAATATTCACACTTTTCTCATTCACAAGAACTTTAGCTAATTTTTCAAAAGAATTGAAAGCATCACTTTTATGTTTCAAAAATAAAGTCCATGTGAATCGAGAATAATCATCCACAATCACAAATGCATAGTAATTTCCACCATAGCTTTTGGTTCTAGTAGGACCAAAGAGATCCATGTGCAAAAGTTGCAAGGGATGTGTGGTAGTAATCACATTTTTACTTTTAAAAGAAGTTTTCACTTGCTTACCTTTTGTACATGCATCACACAATCTATCCTTCTTGAACTTAAGCTTAGGTAGACCTATTACTAGATCTTTGGCTATTACCTTATTTAGTTGACTCATGTTAATATGTCCTACTCGTCTATGCCATAACCATGCATCATTATCTTTAGAGACCAAACATTTAGGTTCAAGAGAAGACATACTATCAAGGTCAATCATATAAATGTTATCACATCTATGTCCAATGAGTCTAACATTTTTACCATCCTTAGATTCAACTATGCATGTGGAAGTATTAAATTTTATATCAAAGCCTTTATCACATAATTGACTAATGCTAAGGAGATTATGTTTCAACCCGTCAACATACAACACATTCTCAATTAATATGGTTGAAGAGTTACCTACATTACCATAGCCAAGAATTTTTCCTTTGTTGTTGTCACCGTAGGAAACATTACCATGTTCCCGTCTATGAAATGTTGAGAACTTTGAAAGATCTCCGGTCATGTGTCTTGAGCAACCGCTATCCAAATACCATTTAGTGCTCTTTGCTCTAAAACAGACCTACAACACAAGGAGGATATAGTGATCGATTGGTACCCTTTGTACTTTTGGGTCCTTACATGTTAGTATAGATACATACACCAAAGCACAATAGTCCTATCAAGCACAAATGAACATTATATAAGGGGAAGTTTTCACAAACATCATTGCTGTCCAAGTTGGACAGAATTGAGTGTAAATGATTTATAGGGGATTTAACAACTTTAACAACATTATTTTTAAGGTAGGAGCATGATACAATTAAGCACAATATTTATACTAAACATGTGCATCAAAAGATAGTTCAAAACAGTCCATACATGCTTCTTTTATATCAAATAGTGACTAGATATCATGTGCAAAATGAATATAATAATAAAACAGTCCATGGCACATGATACATACATGTTCACTAAGTCTTCTTAGTAACATATATCATGTTCTTTACCTTGGGGCTAAAGAACATGCTATATGTATTAGGTTGAGGTCCATGGGATGTTGAGGCAATGTTGCCCACATCTATAGTCCTCTTAGGAACCCACTTAAGATTAGTTCTTTTTAGGCCATATTTCTTAATATTGCATTGATATACAAGATGACCACTCATGCAACAATATGTACATTTCTTAAATGGTAGCTTAGACATGAACCTAGGGGGATAATGGTTTGTCTTCCTTGGTTGAGCAAATGGAGGTTTTTGAAAACCAAGTCCATATTTAGTAGATTCAACCCTTTGTCTACCAAGAAGGACATTCAAATTGTCTCTCCCACTAGTCATTCTATCAACCATTATCTTCAACCTATCCACTTCATTATATAATTCAACACATTTAGTACATGAAATAGTGGAAGAGGGATTCACATCATCACATGATCTAACAAGACAATTCATAAAAAGATTTTCATTTTTAAGATAGTCATTGTCTTTCATTAAATCATTTACAATGGTTGTCAAACTATCAACTTTGTTTTGCAAGTCATTTTTCTCATTTTTAATTTTCTCAACCTTAGAAGTTAATTTTTCATTTTCAACTTGCAAACATTTATAAGCATACAACAAGTCATCATATAATGGACCAACCATAGAAGAAGTATCACAAGAACTAGTGTGACACATAGAGTTAGAATCATTACATGAACTACTATCACATAAAGAGTTAGAAGAGTGGCAAGAGTATACCTCGGTGTGTTCATCCTCTAGATTTGCCATTAAGCACAAGTTTGCTTTTTCACTACTTGAGGAACTTGTTGAGCTTGATGAATCATCCGAGAATACCATATAGGCCTTCTTTTTCTTTTTGCCTTGACCTTTCTTGAACTTGCCATTTTCATATTTATTCTTTTTGTTCGGGAAGTCCTTTTGGAAGTGACCTTCTTTTCCACACTCAAAACAAGCATTGTTTGAGTTTGCATTACTTGAATTGTTGTCTTTTCTTCTTGGCCAGCATACCTTTTTCTCCTTTTGTTCAACTTGTTGTTGAAAAACTTGGTGAATGACTTGTTAAACTTTTTCACGAACATTGTCATTTCATTGTCTTCACCAGTGCTTGATTCACTTGATGAAGTATCAGTAACTTTCTTACTTTGCTTGCTTTCTTTGTTCTCCTTTGAATGAGATGATGAAGCTTTGAGAGCCAATCCCTTTTGTTTCTTCTTGTTAAGCTCACGATTAGCCCTTCTATTTAGCTCTAACTCGTACTCTTGAAGCTTTCCAAATAAAGTGGCAATGGACATTGTAGAGAGATCTTTAGCTTCATAGATAGCCGAAGCCTTTGCATCCCATTCCTTGGTAAGACATCTCAGAATTTTGTTAACTAACAGTTCATCATCATGGAAAATATTTAAAGCATCCATTGATGTAACTATATGCATGAAACGTTTTTGCATGTCAAATATAGACTCACCCTCATGCATCTCAAAAAGCTCAAACTCTCTAGATAATGCATTTTGTTTAGAACGCTTTACTTCACTAGTACCTTCATGGGTTGTTTCTAAAATGAGCCACATCTCACGTGCGGTCTTACATGAAGATACCCGATAGTATTCGTCCTTACCAAGTGCATTAACTATCAAGTTTTTTGCTTTTGAGTTGTATTGGGCTTTCTCTAATTCTTCTCTAGTGAAATCTGTGTGTTTTTTAGTTACAGTTCTTCCATTGTCATCTAGTGAGGTTGGAGGCTGATATCCTTCCTCTACACTATACCAAATTTTAAGATCTACTGACTCAAGAAAGATCTGCATCCGAGTTTTCCAATAGGGATAATCAATCCCATTGAAAAACGGAGGACGGTTGGTGGAACCACCCTCAAGAGGAATATCCTGATGGAAAGAAGCCATAAGATCTTTAACTCTTTGGCAATGGTCAATCACTCAGAGCACAAAGCTCTGATACTTGTTGGGCAAGAGGCTTCTTTAATAAGGATGCGGATGAACACCTAGAGGGGGGTGAATAGGTGTTCTAGGATTTTTTTAAATATCTTTATATCAAGTGAACTTAATATTTGATAAATGTAGAATTAGAATCAAGAGAAGCTAACCAAATTAGCTAGATGTTTTATCTTCAATTCTAATAGAATGCAATTGGTCCCTATATGCCCTAATATACTAAAATGAAGTAAGAGAATAGAATGTCGTACCTTGCACCGTGCAACTTCCGTGCGTAGTTAAAAAAAAAAATTCAAGTATATTAATACAAACTATTTACCCAACACTTCAATATATATATATATATATATATATATATATATATATATATATATATATATATATATTTTATTTGTGTAACAAAAATATGCAGATACAGATTAAAAATAATAATTTTTTTTAAAAAAAAAAACTTGAAATTAGGCTTAGAAATAAATTTTTATTAAAGCCAACAAAAATGACAGAATATTCAAGCTCTATTAATACAAGACTTTAACTAATGAACCAATAGATCTAGTCAATAACACTTTCACACAGTTTACAACAAAAATAAATCAGAGTTCTATTGTTTTATAACATATACTGAAATCTACTACAGAGCTGCTCCTTTAGGTATATTTGCAATGTAGAAAATAGAATTTAAATTTGGAATATATCAGAGAATATTATTTCAGTGCAATTTAGACCTTATATAACAATGTAAACAACTTTATTTATTTTTGTTTAATTTGAAACAGAACAAGAGTTATGAGTTGAGAAAGAGTACACCAAGATTTAACGAGTTCACCCTTAATCTGGGCTACGTCTCGCCTAAAGGCCAACCGGCACTCTAGGATTAGGTTCCACTATATTTCAAAGTTATTTACAATAACTTTCTAAACAAAAAATAGTGTAACACACTCAAAACCATCTAAAAACAAAGCTCCAAGTCTGGACTACACAACTTGAGCTGAGATCAGCCTTGGACAAGAGTCTTTTACCCTTTCCTTGCTCCAAGAGACCACACCAACAGTGTGTCTCAATCTCCAAGCTCTAAGATTAAGTCCAACTGAGACAATTTAGAGGTTCTTGAGCCTCACACTATTCAGTCAACAACTAGGACTACCCTAGTGAAGAAAGAACACAAAAACTGACAACACAGTAATGATAAGTACACAGTTTATCAAGAGAGGGTTAAAGAGCAATGCACCTTGCACGTGCAAAATATACAATTTGAAGCCTATCACCAATTCAGCCAAGAAAGTATCAAATTTGCTCCAAAAAGGTTGTATTGATGCAGAGTGCACCAATTATATGCAATGATTATGAAAACCCCAATTTCTCAAGGCTTAAAACCCTTGAAAGATTCCAATTGCAGAACCTGGTGATTTTGATGAAACAAATTTGTGCAGAAAGACAACTCACTGTTGTGTAATATAAGAAAAGGCTTATGGATTTTCTCTTTGATAAGATGTTCACACTTGAAATTCATAAGAAGAACATTTTCGCTCAAAGAAAATGTACGATTCTTGAAGAACAGCTTTTTGGAGAGAGAGATATATCAGGTTGCATAATCTGAAAAAAAATTCTTTTTCTTTTTATATATCTCAATTACATGAGTTATTATGGACAACCTTATCTTGGGCCCAAAAAAAATATTTGCCATCAGAATTTTATCAAAAGGCCCACATGCTTTTTACAAGACAAATGTTTTAAAAAAATGAGCATGACAGTAATTTCTAAACTGTGTTCAGTTTTATTTTTTATTTTTTATTTTTTTATTATATTTTATTTTAAAAAAAAATTATTTAAATGGGCTATGCTTATATAATCTGTATATGCATGATGTAATTAATTGGAGCAAGATATGACATTTTCAAGGCCAGAAATAGGTGTCACATATCATCTAACCTATTTGACACTAAGCTTCCAAAACTTTGTTTCTTCAATTTCTTAGGCATCATCAAAACATTATAAACCTTGAGCTCATGGGATGTCTTCATGTTTCTCAAACATAATTTCTCATAGACATACAAAATATATGTCTTTAAATCAGTCCATAGTAGCAAACAAACTTCTTAATATCAATGCGATAAACTAAAAAAAACATGTGCAACTTGTGATGAGTGCTGAGAAAACTCTAGATAATGTATTATTAATATTAAATAAAGTTTTCTACGTTAGAATCATAATTAATTATTCATAAAATGAAGGAGTTTTTATTCTCAAACTTCGGAGGAAACTAGCGGGTTAGGTTATCCACCTTTCGAATATTTTTCACCACATAAATCTCGTAAAGTTATATATATATATATATATATATATATTTATGGAGTTTACATTTCTGCAGCTGCTGTACGTGCAGCAATCAAATACTTGCCATATATATATGTGAAAGTATTAAATGTGGGGAATCATAACCATACAAAATATGAAAGTATTAAATGTGGAGAATCATAACCATACACCTGTCGTTGCTGTACGTAAAGCGGCTGCAGAAATGATTTTACCTATATATATATATAGGAAAAATGTTTCTCTTACCAGAGAATATAAAGTTATCTCTAGCATCTCCAAAACTACATCGTTTTGGGGATTGAGAGAATTAATTAAAGATATTTTAGAAATATTGTTTATGAATTTTATCAAAATACCATTTGTTAATTTCCCCAACCCTTAAAATGATGTAGTTTTAGTTTGTTGGAAATAACTTTATCTCCTAGTACAGGAGAAAGAAACGATATGCCCAATATACATTCGATAAGCCATATATATATATAGGGAAAGGATCCGTTTACAAATTTTTTTGACAAATTTTTACAAATTACACTATCTTCTCCAGGGTGAACATAGTGAAACCTAGTGTTCTCTCGGGAGAAGATAGTATAGTTTGTAAGAGTTAGTAAACAAAAAAGTTTGTAAATATAACTTGCCCCATATATATATATGGGGCAAGATATTCTTACACCAGTGTAAGAATTAGAAGTCTTACACTCAATCTTGACCATTGATCCACTTGTATCCAATGGATCACATTACTAAAAAATTAGAGCACTTAGATATAAATGGAATCAACGGATAAGATTGAGAGTGTTACATTGGTGTAAAATGATCCTGACCATATATATTTATATATAAACTTCCAATATAGACAATCAAGCAAAAAATTTAGCCTTTTGCTATTTCACAAAAAATAACATTGAAATCCAAAATTCTATCCCTAAATCCGTCTATATTTAAGGACAAAATTCATAAATAAAAAATATTTCATCCCTAATTTTGGTCCAAATTGGAACGAATAATATTTTACCCCTATTAAGGATAGAGTCTAAAGATTGAAAATATTTCATCCTTAAGCCTATCCCTAATAGGAATGTCATATTTTTTGTCTCAAAATCCATCCTTACTAGATACAGAAATTAATTCATTGTTAATTTCATCCCAAATAAAGAGTAATTAATTTTTCATCTATACTTTAGTTCCTATTAGGGATGAAATAATTTCTGCCTCTAAATTTCATCCATAATTCATACTTTTTTAATAGTATGACAACCTAGTTAACATTACCACCGGTAATTTTGGGCAGTTTGAGCCACTATCCAAGGTGTTTTAGAGGTGATGCTAGGTTGAAAATTGGCTTGGTCATCGTACATTGATAGTGTTGTTTGATGTAACCAGCCAGAATTCTGATATCACAATTGACTTTTGATGTTGTTAACGACTTTTGATGACCTATGGCAATCATCATGTGATTCAGTCGGTTCAAAGAATGGGCAACAATGATGACATAACTGATAAGTGCAAGCTCAAAATGATCATTATGCCCTTGACCTTTGGCCTTATGCCAATGTCTTTTTAAAATGGATGATTACTGCCATTTGCTACCATCCTCTCTTTTTGTCACCAATGTTTGTAAAGTTTTCTTCATCTATTTTTTTTAGCTCTACTTGCTTAATTTTTGTGCTTTTTGGAGCTTGACCCTTTCTTAATTCCATTCCAACACTTGGGGCTTCATATGAACCATCAAACTTATTTGTAATACTCTCTAATTTTCATTTTCAAATCAGTTTTTTCTTCGTTCATTCAATATGCTACCATGTTTGCCTCTAAGATTTGCAAATTGCAAGGACTTCGACGCTTAATTCAGTAAACAAATGAAGTTGAATTGTAAAATGGGGGTAAATATATACATAAAAGTTTTGCCTCGATATTTATAAAAAGATGAGAGAGCTGTTTTGGTGCTTGTATGACAGAATACGACAATTTATCTTACATGCAACCGATATAACTAATTAGGGTATCAAATAAAATGGGGTGATATGTCTTTCGCACAACTAAGGTGTCAAGTGCAATGCGGTTGTGTGCTTCACAAATTAATAAATTAGAGCGACTTGCCTAAAGAATGGGTGTCAAGATATCTTTAATGGTTGACAATTGGATTATGTGTTTGGGCCTAATTATGAGTTGAATACATAAATCTAGATTACCATGTAAATTATTCTTTTTGCAAGATGCAAGAATCTTTAATATATTAACTCGATACGTATAATATAATTAGATAAAAAAAGTAAAATAAAGAAATGGAGGAGCATGTTAATTAGTGCCTATCCATCTACTTGTACATACAAAAGCAAATAGTTAATGCATGTCTAGAAGTAAAAATATCCAAACTTTGTTGATTAGCAAATTGGTTGATTTATATATATTTTTAATTTTTTTTTGTATCCTATAATTTTAAGTGTAATTAGTATGTATGTGCTATAATTATAAAAAAATGTACATTTACATTCACTAATATTTTGACATCAACATCAATATAATCAACATCAACAACATCTTTATCCCAAACTAGTTAGGGTCGTGATAGATGAACCTAAATGAAAAATACAAAAAAAATTGAGAAAAAAATAAAAATTAAAATTAAAATTTTATAA